TTTTTTTTTTTTTTTTTTTTTTGTGACTGGTGAGGTGATTGCAACCCTTGGCTCGGTGTTGCCTGCACTGCGCTCAGCCAGTGAGCGCACCGGCCATCCCTATATAGGATCCAACCCTGTGGCCTCAGTGCTCCCAGCGCTGCTGCACTCCCAGCACCGCACTCACCAGAGTGAGCCATGGGGCCAGCCCAAAATAGAACTTTCAATAAACCAAACACCTAGTTGTCATCTTATTTTAACCCATTAAATCAACTCCTTCAATATGAATTCCTTATTCAATTGTACGTATTTAATAGCACTTGCCTATGAATCAACTTGTACATATGCACATCTAAAAGACTATTACTGGAGTATAAAATACCTACAGAAAAATACACAAATAATATATGCATAGCTCCATGAATTACCACGTTATGGACAGTTAGATTGTGTGATTTCCCTTGAGACATGAACACAATGGGAAAGAAATTGTTCCTTCCAGTCTGTAAATCTGAGTGTACGAAAAACACAAAACCCATAACGAGTTTATTCTTTCGCTCATTCAGTATTCGTGAGCACCTGCTTGTGCCAGGTGACCTTCTAATTGCTGGTGACACAGAGACACCTCCTCCCAGTGCTATTTAAAAAGGGATAGTAGGGGGAGGGGGAAGGGCAGGAAGAGGTGGTGCCAGTTTACGCAGTGAGGTTGGGGAGGGTTTCAGTAGGGAGCAGCTGAGCAGAGACCTGCACTGTCTCGACATCCTGGGGAAGAACACATCAGGCAGAGGGAACAGCAAGCATTGTTTATCAGCCAAAAGCAGGTCACAACCAAGTAAAATCTCACTGAATAAGGTCAGATAAGACATCAGGCTGATGTTTTTTTTCTTTTGCTAAAATATCTTGATATGTACAAGATATCAAGGATAAATACATCTCTATATGACATATATTGATAAAAATGTACTGACACCACTCATCATTCACAAACTGTCAACACCACTAACTAGATACGTTTTCCTCAAAGGAGAATCACACATATTTAATAACGATGGGAATAATGGATTAGAAAGAAAAAAGATAGGAACTTGACCCATTCTGACAGGACAGAGTCTGAGCCCCCACCTCAAAAGGATCAGCCTAGGTGGCTTATAATTAAAACGACTGCGCAATTGGAGCTGGTGGTACAAGCTCAAGCTGGGAAAATCATCTTTATGCACTCAGTTCCCAACACAGCCTCATTTCTGGAAAATGAAAGCCCCCAAGGGAGGTACCGCACTTCACTTCTCTTGTTCCCCTTCCTAACTTAGGAAATGGGAGGAGGTCACCTGCAGGGTGTCTCGAGGATTCAGAGATGAGGCGTGCAAAGTGAGGACAAGGGAAACAGCAGTTCAAGTTAGAAATGACCTCGCCGGCTCACTAAAAAAAGAAAGAGTTACATTAAGAATCCTGTTACTAATAAGTACACGTGTTCCAAGCACTGTCAGAGGAGGAAGTGTCTCCAAATTACCATTAGTCCTCCGCAGCACCTCATCAAGGCTCTCCGGTTCCGATTCCCAGCTGACTCCACTACCATCTGTGTCACTGTGCCGGTTAAACACATCACAATTTTCTACAGAATCAAGGCATACGTACACCTAAGTAGGGGAAAGGGAAGGGGAAAAACCTTCAAATTCTTTAATTTCTAGTATTCGTTTATGTGGACAAAACTACTGCGGCAGACTGGCCTCCAGTGCTTCCTGCCTCCTGATATTGACCCCTTGTAGAATTCCTTTCCCACATCCTACCACGTGCATCTTGTGACCAAGTGTGTGGCTGCTGAGACTGGATTATAAGACACCTGGTGCTGGGAAAATATAGGTAAATGGTCAGGGCCCTTCAGATATTCAGAATCTTGCTGAGCATCTGATGTAAATATGCACATGCGCCCAGGTATTCCCTTATTGTCTAATGTAATTGTGCATGTGCACCCAGGTGTCTTGGGTTATGGACTTAAGTATAAAGGACTAATGGTTCTGGGCCGGCCCGGTGGCGCACTGGAGAGTGCGCCACATGGGAGCGTGGCAGTGCTCCCGCTGAGGGTTCGGATCCCATGTAGAGACCAGTTCCCGCTCACTGGCTGAGCGTGGTGTGGACGCAACACCAAGGGTTGCGATCCCGCTGCCGGTCCCCGGTACGGGCGCAACACCGAGGGTTGCGATTACCGGTCAGTAAAAAAAAGACAAAAAGGAAAATAAAAAAAAAAAGGACTAATGGTTCTGATACACGGTGCTTCTTGGGACACTCCGGGAGGCCACTAGGGCAGCTGCTCCTAACTCTGAATAAAGCCTATTAATTTTTTACCCACGGCTCCCAGGACCTCTTCCTATTACCTAGCTCATAGACCTGCACGTGAAAGGTTTGTGACCCCATCTGTACAACGGGCTCAAGGGGTCTGTGAGCCCTAGCCCTAGCTTTACACCTGCCTTCTGTCTTGGTGGCACTCTGTCAGAGCCCTTGTGCTCCAGGAATATCACAGCCATCCTGGGAGGTCACTGGAAAGGGACCTGGGTGTAAAAATGAGTCCTCCACACACATCGTATGAGTGAGTCTTTTTGGAAGTGCATTCTGCAGCCTCCAGGAACATCTTGATTGCAAACTTATGAAAGATCCTGAGCTAGAGTACTTAATTAAGCAGCTCCTGGATTCCTGATCCTCATGTGTGTTGTTTTAAGCTGCTCAATTGGGGGTAATTTTCTATGCAGAAATAAAAAATTATTAAAAAATCATTATAAAAACCAGAAACAGCGGTACACTACTATGGTCTTTGATGAAATTAGAGAGCAAACCCCTCCCTTGCCTGTAAGAGAATGGTTTACCATGTAAAAGGCTGGAGGAGCAGCCGATGCTACTTAACTTATCCTTTTTGCCTCTCTCTCTTGTTAGCCAAGGACATGTCATTAAATTTTCTTTTGTGCATTTATTCATCGATTCCATCAATATTCATCAAGCACCTGCTATATGTCAGGCACTATTCTNGACAGGACAGAGTCTGAGCCCCCACCTCAAAAGGATCAGCCTAGGTGGCTTATAATTAAAATGACTGCGCAATTGGAGCTGGTGGTACAAGCTCAAGCTGGGAAAATCATCTTTATGCACTCAGTTTCCCAACACAGCCTCATTTCTGGAAAATGAAAGCCCCCAAGGGAGGTACCGCACTTCACTTCTCTTGTTCCCCTTCCTAACTTAGGAAATGGGAGGAGGTCGCCTGCAGGGTGTCTCGAGGATTCAGAGATGAGGCGTGCAAAGTGAGGACAAGGGAAATAGCAGTTCAAGTTAGAAATGACCTCGCCGGCTCACTAAAAAAAGAAAGAGTTATATTAAGAATCCTGTTACTAATAAGTACACGTGTTCCAAGCACTGTCAGAGGAGGAAGTGTCTCCAAATTACCATTAGTCCTCCGCAGGCCTCATCAAGGCTCTCCGGTTCCGATTCCCAGCTGACTCCACTACCATCTGTGTCACTGTGCCGGTTAAACACATTACAATTTTCTACAGAATCAAGGCATACGTACACCTAAGTAGGGGAAAGGGAAGGGGAAAAACCTTCAAATTCTTTAATTTCTAGTATTCATTTACGTGGATAAAACCACTGCGGCAGACTGGCCTCCAGTGCTTCCTGCCTCCTGATATTGACCCCTTGTAGAATTCCTTTCTCACATCCTACCACAGGTATCTTGTGACCAAGTGTGTGGCTGCTGAGACTGGATTATAAGACACCTGGTGCTGGGAAAATATAGGAAAATGGTCAGGGCCCTTCAGATATTCAGAATCTTGCTGAGCATCTGATGTAAATATGCACATGCACCCAGGTATTCCCTTATTGTCTAATATAATTGTGCATGTGCACCCAGGTGTCTTGGGTTATGGACTGAAGTATAAAGGACTAATGCTTCTGGGCCGGCCTGGTGGCACACTGGAGAGTGCGCTGCCTGGGAGCGTGGCTGCGCTCCCGCCGAGGGTTCAGATCCCATGTGGAGACTGGTTCCCGCTCACTGACTGAGCGTGGTGTGGGCACAACACTGAGGGTTGCAATCCCATTGCCGGTCCCTGGTATGGGCACGACACCGAGGGTTGCGATCCCATTACCAGTCAGTAAAAAAAAGACAAAAAGGAAAATTTTAAAAAAAAAGGACTAATGGTTCTGATACACGGTGCTTCTTGGGACACTCCGGGAGGCCACTAGGGCAGCTGCTCCTAACTCTGAATAAAGCCTATTAATTTTTTACCCATGGCTCCCAGGACCTCTTTCTATTACCTAGCTCATAGACCTGCACGTGAAAGGTTTGTGACCCCATCTGTATGATGGGCTCAAGGGGTCTGTGAGCCCTAGCCCTAGCTTTACACCTGCCTTCTGTCTTGGTGGCACTCTGTCAGAGCCCTTGTGCTCCAGGAATCTCACAGCCATCATGTGAGGTCACTGGAAAGGGACCTGGGTGTAAAACTGAGTCCTCCACGCACATCACATGAGTGAGTCTTTTTGGAAGTGCATTCTGCGGCCTCCAGCAACATCTTGATTGCAAACTTATGAAAGATCCTGAGCTAGAGTACTTAATTAAGCAGCTCCTGGATTCCTGATCCTCATGTGTGTTGTTTTAAGCTGCTCAATTGGGAGTAATTTTCTATGCAGAAATAAAAAATTATTTAAAAAATCATTATAAATCCAGCAACAACTGTACACTACTATGGTCTTTGATGAAATTAGATAGCAAACCCCTCCCTTGCCTGCATGCAAGAGAATGGTTTACCATGTAAAAGGCTGGAGGAGCAGCCGATGCTACTTTACTTATCCTTTTTGCCTCTTTCTCTTGTTAGCCAAGGACATGTCATTAAATTTTCTTTTGTTCATTTATTCATCGATTCCATCAATATTCATCAAGCACCTGCTATATGTCAGGCACTATTCTAGGTTCTGGGGACACATCAAAGAACACCATGGACAAAAATCCCTGTCTTCATGCAGTTACATTCTGGTGGGGGGAGGCAAACACATATAAATAAGAAAGGGGCACAGGGTGGCAGAAGGTGGTAAAGTGGTATGGAAAAACACAGCGCAGGGTAAGGAGTGGAAGAGCTCAGTGCAGGAAGAGGGAACAGGAGTGAGACGTTTAAGATTTCACACGTGGAAATGATTTCACCTTATATATCTAAATATTTGATATAACAATGAATGAAGCAACGCAACACTGGGAACCAAGCAGGTGCTTAAAAAGCACTTGCCTTTATATTAAATACAGTCATGCGCCACATAGCAATGTTCTGGGCGACAGTAGG